ACGATTTGGAAACATTGTGCCAAAAACACCAGATGCCACGTTCAAAGCACCAACAACAGGCAAATTTTATATCACTGACAAAAACGAACCTCTTGAATACAAAATGTTTAGCAATATAGATGAGCTACTACAAATGAGAGAGCAGGATGAATACGCACTGATTCATTCTGAAAATGATATGGTAAAGGTCTTCCATCAACTCAACGATGCAGGATATAAGCCTTATACTAAATATGGCAATTCCGGACAAATTGCCAATATTATGTGTAAGTTTTATTATAAACAACTCAAAATATATGTCAAATATAATATTGTATCACAGAGCTTATCAAAAGATAGGATGGATGAAGATGTGGAAGTGGATGATGGAACAACATATAATAATATTGTTAAGGCAATGTTTAAATTACACAAAGAAATGTTTAAACAAAACCATTTGTCTTATTACAATGATGTTGATATACAGATATTGAAACACTGTAAAACGATAATTCCAATGAGTATTTTATCAAATGTGTAGCAAGTAAAAATTTATGCGAGATTGACATTAGAAAGGCTTTTACACATGCTGGATGCTGTATTAAATACATACCTAGATTTACAGAGTTTGATATTTTCAAACCTTTTGCGAATGAGTGTGATGTCAATGAGTTAGACAGTTTGACTTCATACATTGTGGAAGTGTATGAGGGCAACATCTTTTTCAATAAAAAATATAACTTGGTGTATGGACAGTTTTTAAAACAGTTGATTAAACATAATGTAAAATTAAAATATCATGGTATAAGCAACCTAACCATGTATATAAAGAAAATTACAAAAAATAATTGATGAACTGTATGATACAAAACTGTCTGATAACGAAGACCTGAATAAGCAACTCCATAAGAAAATATTCAACATTAGCGCTGGTATGCTTGAAAAATCGCATAACACTTCACAAAAAAGCAGTGTTTTTAGTTCATTGAAAGAAGCCTGTCACAACCAGCGTCAATATCCAAACAGTAAAATATATACAATCAGCAAGTGCCAATTGGAATGGGTAGAAGTAGATGAAGATAGCTCTCAATTAGAAGAATATCCTGTCGGTGAAACATACTATGTGTTGAATGTTGCTGACAAAAAAGTTTTAAGTAACGGATTTATCTATATCAAAGAATTGATATTACAATATCATAATTTCAAAATGTATGAAGCCTACAAAACAATGACTGATAATAATGTCAAGGTGTATAGTGTTAAAACCGATGTTTTTGTTATACATGAAGATGATTTAGCTAAAGTTTTTCGTTTTCAATTATTCGGAAGAAGCAATGGACTGCTGAAATGTGGTAATGAGATAGGCGATTGGAGGATAGAAGATAAAAAACATATCCAACTACCCACCCACTCATATACATATAAATATAATGAAGTTCCGGAAATACCCAAAATCAACAATTTCAATATTCCTATTGAAGACGAATGGAACACCGAAAGCATTTGTAAGAATATTATTAAACAAAACCCCGTGATTATAAAAGGTAAATTTCCGGGCACTGGCAAAAGTTATATTGGCGAATACTTTAAAAAAATGAATAAGAATGTTTTATTTGTAAACCGGCTTTTACAAGAAAAAGAAGTAGAAGCCACCACTTACAATAAGTTTTTTAGCATTGCCGTTCATGAAGATGTCGGAGAGAAATTGCCACAGTATGATTACTCACCTTATGATATAATTGTATTTGACGAAATATATATGTCAAATTTATATGTATTGAATAAAGCAAGGTTGTTTATAATGAATAATCCAGATAAGATTGTAATTGCTACCGGTGATGTAAAGCAATTACAAGGGATAGAAGCAATGACTAACTGCCAAGACCCAGCAACATATATGGATAATTGCTTAGATACAATTTTTAAATACAACATATTTTTAACAGTATGTAGGAGAGTAGGTGCAAAAGACAGCGAAGAAGGAGACAGGAACAGAGAGATAATAAATAATATGTATGAAGACTTCTGGGAAAAGAAACTGCCTATCAATGAAATAATACCTAAATACTTTGAGATTACTGATGATATAATGGCTTCGGAACATAATATTGCTTATACTAATATTAGATGCCGTGCCGTCTCAAATGAAATCAGAGACAGACTAAACATACATGCTAAATATATTGTAGGTGACATTTTGATTGCCAGAAAATGGATACAAAAGCCCAGGGTCAATGTAAATTTGAGATACAGGATTACACATATACAAGATGATGAATTAGGAAAACAAATAACATTACAAAATATAGCAAGGGAAGAAGATAAATTTATGTTGTTTGAACCTATTGTAGATGCTAATTTCATTTATTCATACTGTGCTACTACTCACTCGTCGCAAGGAGCAAGTGTAAAGGAAAGCATGACAATTCATGAATTCAACTTGCCTTTTGTAAGCAGGGAGTGGTGTTGGACGGCAATTACACGCTGTGTTGATTTTAGAAAAGCTAGGTTTTTCAAGAATGATGAGTTTGAAAAACAATTGAATAAACATATGATAATGAGATATTTTAAGAATAAAGTAGAAAATTATAAAATACAGGACAGGAAAGCAAAGAGAGAAATCAATGAAGAGGAATACATAACTGCCGAATGGTGCTTGGATAATTTCAAGAACAGATGCCAGAAGTGTAATACTCCATTTAATTTTGAAATCAAGCAGGGCAAATTATGTAGCAACTTTACCGCACAAAGGATTTGTAATGATACAAGTCATGAAATAGATAATTGCTTCGGTTATTGCTACTATTGTAATGTATCAGCGCACTAAGATTTTAAGATTTCTATTTTAAAATCTTTGTTTTAGACTAAAAAGGGTTTAAAGACATAATACCTATATATAGTAGAGAGTAATGAAGGAACAAGAAGTAAATAATTATATTAATAAGACATGCTATGACTGTTGCCATTTCAAAAAAGATAATATGGAACTATACAAATTAAATTTACCTAATGGAATAGTCAATAATATTATTGATTATGCTTTGGGTAAAGAAGACGAATGTAAACTTTGTAGAAGGTGGAAGTCTTATCAAACTATGATAGAAAATCATTTGGAAATTAAAAGGTTGCTTGACATAAATGTTGAAGATGACATTTTGATATTTGTAACTGTGTATGAAAGACCACCTTATAGTTATGTTAGAGCATTGCTCAAAATCAGTAAGAAAAAGTATGACATGATTAACAGTGTATTGTGGATGCTATTATATCATAGAAGGACAGGCTTTGATTTAAAAGAAGATATAACCACATATATTGAACGTAAAAAGTTTAATGTTAAAAATACCGTGAGAGACATTAATATTATTTTTGAGATGATGTATGAAAGAGGTAAGATATATACACAATTTAATAGTCATCAATTAAATTATTATCCCGAGCTTAAATTATAAATAATATTATCAATATAATAAATCTTAATTCATTATGGATAAGCAACAAATAATTAGTGATATTTATTATGACAAAAGCGGATACGGAAGTAAAGCAATAACTTTACAACATGCAATAAGGAAGGACAAAACAATTACTATGAGTGATGTAAATGAATTCTTTAAAAATAATATTGAAGAGAAAAGACAACCAAGAGGGCAAAATAGTTTTGTTGCGCCTCATGCCTTCTGGGAACTCCAGTTGGATTTGTTTTTCATTTCAAAAAATGGTTTAGATACTCAAAAGTTTAGAGTTGGATTAATATTAGTTGATATATTCAGTAAATATGCTACTGTTATACCTATTGCGAGTAAGCAACCTGCTGATGTATTCGCTGGAATAATGGAAGGATTAAAAAATATGGATGGCAAACCTAAATTAATATACAGCGACGAAGAAGGCAGTTTGTTTAGTTCTACCATTACAGACTATTTGAAGGAAGAGAAAATTGAATTACACACCACAAGAGGACATCCGGCATTTGGCGAAAGGTTCATAAGGACATTTAAAGACATGCTTTTCAAAAGACTTGATGCTGATGAGAAGAAAGGTAAACATAATATTCAATGGACTGACTACATATTGGAAATCTTATTAACTTATAATAATAAATTGGTAGGTTCTATTACGAAAATGACACCATTAGAAGCAAGGAAGAAAAATAATGAGTTTGAAGTGAAACTGAATATATCAATGAATGCCAGAAAAACCCGTTTGTATCCTGATTTAGATATTGGAGATAAGGTTAAGATTATGAGGAAAAAAGGAATCAGTGAAAAAGAACGCACGAGCCACTGGTTAAAAGCAGTCCATACAGTGGAAAAGATAGACACGAAATTAGGGCAAACATATTATTCAGTTAGTGATTATCCAAAATTATTATTGAGACATGAAACGTTAAAGTTATAGTGAAAAGAAGCGCTGGAAAGGTTTGTTGGTTGGTTGCTTTGGAATGTTCTGTGTTCTGTTCCTTGTTTGGTTTTTGGTTATGTTCTTTGTTGTTGGGGGTTTTTGAATAAGGGACCTTCAACCCACGTCGGTAAGGAAAAAATATGGTTAAAATGGCATGCTGATTTTAAAATGGCTGAAAAGTGTAGGGGGGGGTATAGACATTGGTTGGTTGTTGGTATGTTGCTTTGAAAAGTGGTTGGAATCTTGAATTTGAATGGTTGAAATGGTATGCTGTTTTTAAATGGCCTGAAAATCCTAGGGGGGGGTATAGATATTGGTTGGTTGTTGGTATGTTGCTTTGAAAAGTGGTTGGAATCTTGAATTTGAATGGTTGAAATGGTATGCTGTTTTTAAATGGACTGAAAATCCTAGGGGGGGGTATAGATATTGGTTGGTTGTTGGTATGTTGCTTTGAAAAGTGGTTGGAATCTTGAATTTGAATGGTTGAAATGGTATGCTGCTTTTTAAATGGACTGAAAATCCTAGGGGGGGGTATAGATATTGAGGTGGGTTGAAGGCCCCCTGCTTGCTGTAACACCCCCACAACCCACCAACCAACGCTGCCAAGCCCGTGACTCCTCGATGTCTTGTACGGGCAAAGATCGAGACGCATCTAACCGCCTGGCTTCCTCCTTTTCCATGCTCCAGGTCACCTGACGGCCAATCACCTATTTGGGTTTGGTCTAAGGTCGCTCTATTCTGACAAATACACGCTAGAGCATGCTCAAACTATTGTGCAAACAACCTACTGTTGCTCAATTTGGGTCCCTTTCTGGGTGCTCGTGTCCAATGTCCAAAAAGTGGTCGTTGTTGTTGGGGGGGGGATCTATGGATTTGAGGCTAAAATTGGTTACGAGACAAGGCGCAAGTGGCTATGGGCGGTTACTTCGGGTCAGCGCTCAGACCCAGAAAGTGGGGTACAGGGCACAATTCCGGTGCTCGGGAATGAGACAATGGCCACGGGCTTTTCAAAATCCAAACCGGTTATCTCCCTGCGAACATCAACCAATCCAACCACTAAAATAGGTTCTGAAATGGGTGGTGAATTCACCTATCCCAAAATGGTACCATTGGTTTTGAACCATGGCCAAATGACCCCGAAATAAACCATCCAACTGGTGGTTTCCTTTCTTCGGGAATCCCAAAATTCCATTTCTCATTCCCTGCATCTCTCGCACCAGCCACTAGGTCCTCCAGTAGAGACGATAGAATAAGGGTACCCCTTTTTTCTGTAGTCTATTTTAAAAGGGGAACCCTCCCCCAAGAAAGGGGAGAGACAGGGCACTCCTGGGGGACCTAGGCAAGGAACAACCGCCATGCCCTTTTGGGCCGCCTGAATCAACTTCAGCAGGTTGTCTACGAATCTCCGCTCCGTCTCGATGCCATCACCCTCCTGGCTTCGGCATAAAGACCCAGAGCCCTCGATTTCTAGGCTCAGTTGTTCAGTGACCCTGGAAAAAACGGGGACCCTTTTTGGGGAAGACCACTTTTGTTGGGGCAGCCACCAACAAAAAAAGGGAGAAAGGGAGCCACTGAACAACTATTTCGAGGGGACACTTGCATGTCCATTCTTTTACCAGGGATCCGAATCTTTCCAGAAAACCATCGGAACCCCAGGGGAAACAGCGATCGGTTATTGAAAATAACGATGGTTGAAAAGAATGGTTGGAATCAACCTCTAGACTATTGGACGACCTCTGGGGTTTGGGGGTCTCAACACCTGGCTGCTTGAGGGCTCTAAATAAATCGGGAGCGCCTGGGTGCATCCAAAGCCCATCCAAGAACTATCCAAGGGGAGGCCTTGCACGGTACAAGCATTCCCGTCCAGCCGCGATAGAATGTGTCGACACAAAGTCCACAGGCCTGGAAACTGTTCCGCTTGGACCTCATCCAAACCAAAAAATCCCTAAGTTACTTTGGATCTTTTGTGGCCAGGAACGCACGTGGAGCGCAAAGGGAGCGAAAAGGCTTGGAAAAGCAGTCGTTGCGCGCTGCCAAGGGGTTTTGTGGATAACTGAGCCCCAGTCGTCAGTGGTCATGTGGCCATGGGTCAAAATCCAAATCGTACCCCCAGTGAACATCAACCAATCCAACCACAAAAATCGGTTCCCAAATGGGTGCGAATTCGCCCTACCAACCAAACAATCAGATCCCAAACCGGTTTTGACCACCACGGCCATGTCTCGGCCCCCTCCCTCGACTAGACTACTCGACTCGGTGGGTCCTGGACGCTCACGGACAAGGCCTCCATCCAGGCAGCGATGACCACGGTGCAGAGGTCCGCGGCGACGATGAGAAAGGTGCTGACGATCAGCAGGATGCCTCACGAATCGGAATCATCGGGATGCCTCACAGATCCCTCCCCATCCGCATGCCGACTCCCACCTCCCAAAAGGCGTAACTCTCAAGGAGTCTAAGGATCGGATCCCCATGCCTGAGACGAGGGAACACCTGAAGGCCAATCTGCCAGAATCAGCCCTGGCCCATTGGGAGCCTTGGAAGGGAACTACGGAACCGGACCTCCAGAAAGCAAACTGTCCCGAGATTCTGGGCTTCGATGTACGACACTCCCAAATGAAGTGGGAAGGACCCTGAGCCACTTTAACTTTCCTGGCATTCTGTGAGGGCTCCGTAGACTCCTTTCTTGTAAGTTTGGCTGGAAGAAAGGATGAGCTGGTTCGAGTCGAACACCCATTTTCTTTCAGAGACTGGAGTGTTGGCTGCCTAAGAAAGCCCAAGGAGCATTCCCGAACTCATCAAACTCTTGATCAGGTCGGGGCCGCATATCTTCTGCTGGATTTCTTGCATGCTTCCCGAGCCTAAGCATCAGCCTGCAGCACAGCATCAGTGAAGTGCCACAAAGAAGACTAGAGTCAATAAATAAAAATACAATGATACAAATGCTGATGATCATCCAAAAGGCTGAAAACTGCTCATGTTTCTCCAACAGTATCGTTCCCTTGCAGTCACGACCAAGTAAGATCACCTGCAAATCGGAAGGGATCGCCAATGACAAGCAACATCCGTTCCAATGCTTGAAACACAATGACAAGGACTCTTTCTGGGTCCTGGATGCTCAACAAATGTGTTTTCTGTTCAGTCCCTGAAGAAATTGGACTCCAATGGAAGCGCCCCTTATGGAGTCATGGGGGCCATGATCTTTCTGGAACCCGAGACCGCTAGGTCAGCTTGCGAACTTGGTAGGAGTGATTGGATATTTGAAGGGGCTGCTCCACTGATTCACACAACACAATGATTGGCTTCCATGTCCAAGCGGAAAAGACAGCAACGCACCACCTGATTTGAGTTTGCGGAGCTGCGTGCGGTGTTCTCGTGCTCCTCCTGCGAATCCTGCAGGCGAACAGTTGAACACGCGGCTCAGAGCCGAGCGAACAGAGAGCTGCTCAACAGCAGCTCAAACTGGAGGGCGTCGATAGCTGCTCGAAACCAATACGAAGGGACCACATTCAATCGTGACCCAAGGACTGAGGCCGGGGTTGGTCATGTTTCCATCAAAATCTGTCCCTGGCTGCCTTTCGGTGGGGAGAGAGGGAAATGTTCAACTGGATACACAAAGTAAGCCGCGAAAAGGACATGGGAACATTTGTTGGGGCGTTCGGCCAAGTGTCAGGAAAAAACTAATCCCCCACTTGCAAGTGAAATTGGGGAGTTCACCAAGCTGGTGTGTTTTAAGTTCAGAAGTGGCTCACCCATAACATCCCAGTGACTCCCTCTGCTCAAATGACCTGGGCCTGGTCCGCGCCCAAACGACCCGCCCCATTTCCGACCTGCAAACGACTGAGTCTCTCCTGGAGGTTCGCCAAGGCTGTCTCAGCTGCAGAGGTGATGGTGGAAATGCCACTCAAGAGCAAGGTCTTGTTTCCTCGGTTGTTCGACCCGCCAAAACTGAAGCTCTTTGATGCTGGGGAGTGAAAGATCCTGGTCAAAGCTGCTAAAGGTTAAAGTTGCAAGCATGTTCCGCAAGGAAAAAGGGTCCCCCTGCTGTAAATCATGAAAAAAGCCATGATGTGTAGAGGAAACTGAATGTGGGAGACCCCCTTTTGGGTTCTATCTTAATTTTGCAGGGTAGCAAAGGGTGGGAGCTAAGGACGAAGTCTCCGGTGTATTCCGGGCTGAAGAGCAGGGCCCTGCCCTGCTCGGGCGCAGTAACGCAAGTGCTCAGCGCCAGCGTCTCCATGTCCTCAGTGCAAACTTCCATGTGGCTGGCTCTCGGGGGCGCATTCAAATTCCTCCGTGTGCTTTGCTGCTTCCCTTTCGTTCCCTTTATCCAAACAAGCAACACCCATGTCATGGGCGAAAGTGGCTTGGTCCCGCACGACAACATGTGTTTTTGAGGCTTGGTATCCTTTGTTTGGTGGGTTTAAAGGAATATGTGATGACATTGTGGTTCTACAAACACCAAGTCTCCATGGGTCAAAAGCCCGTACCCCAGTGAACATCCCAATCCCAACTAAAATAGACCAAAATGGGATCCCAAAACGGTTTTGACCAACAGCCACATCTTTCCAGCTTGTTGTTTCCCTTTAAAACCAACAGGTGGTAAACAAACATCTACTTTTTGCTTCCCTTTGAGTCACTGCTAAAATGTAAAATGTATCCTAAGTCAACCCCAGCCCAAGTGACCCCTTAAAAAACTGCAAATATCCAACCCCAAAACATCTAATCATTTCAGAGGAGACCCCACATACCCTGAAAAAACCCTGACATGCTCGCGTTAAAAAAAAAAGGAAAAAAGAACTGCCCTAAAGACCAACCAAAATGGGATCGCAAAACGGTTTTGACAACCACAGCCAAGTGACCCCTTAAAAGAACCGCAAAATTCGGCTCCCCTTAAAGGACCGCAAAAATCCAAAACATCTAACTATTTCAGAGGAGACCCCACATACCCTGCAAAGACGCTGACATATTTGCTTAAAACAACAAATGCCTCGCAAAACGGATTTGACAACCACAGCCAACTGACCCCTTAAAAAAACCGCAAAACACGGCTCCCCTTAAAGAACCGCAAAACCCAAAAACATCTAGCTATTTCAGAGGAGACCCCACATACCCTGCAAAGACCCTGACATACTCGCAAAACAAAGAAGAAGAAAAAACAAGAAAAAAAACAGAACTGCCCTAAAGACCAACCAAAATGGGATCGCAAAACGGTTTTGACAACCACAGCCAAGTGACATGTTAAAAGAACCGCAAAAACGGCTCCCCTTAAAGAACCGCAAAAATCCAACCGCAAAACATCTAACTATTTCAGTGGAGACCCCACATACCCTGCAAAGACCCTGACATGCTCGCGTTAAAACATGCCCTAAAGAACAACCAACATGGGATCGCAAAACGGTCTTGACAACCACAGCCAAGTGACCCCGTAACAGAACCGCAAAAAACGGCTCCCCTCAAATAAAGAATCGCAAAAATCCAACCCCAAAACATGTAAAAAAATCAGAGGAGACCCGACATACCCTGCAAAGACCCTGACATACTCGGAGAAGAAAAAAAGAAACAGAACTGCCCTAAAGACCAACCAAAATGGGATCGCAAAACGGTTGTGACAACCACAGCCAAGTGACCCCTTAAAAGAACCGCAAACCACGGCTCCACTTAAAGAACCGCAAAAATCCAACCGCAAAACATCTAACTATTTCAGAGGAGACCCCACATACCCTGGAAAGACCCTGACATGCTCGCGTTTAAACAAAAAAAATGAGAAAAAAAGGAACTGCCCTAAAGACCAACAAAGATGGGATCGCAAAACGGTTTTGACAACCACAGCCAAGTGACCCCTTAAAAGAACCGCACAAAAACGGCTCCCCTTAAAGAACCGCCACAAATCCAACCCCAAAACATGTAAAACAAATCAGAGGAGACCCCACATACCTTGCAAAGACCCTGACATACTCGCGTTTAGAAAACAAACAACTGCCCTAAAGACCAACAAAGATGGGATCGCAAAACGGTTTTGACAACCACAGCCAAGTGACCCCTTAAAAGAACCGCAAAATACGGCTCCCCTTAAAGAACCGCAAAAATCCAACCCCAAAACATCTAACTATTTCAGAGGAGACCCCACATACCCTGCAAAGACCCTGACATGCTCGCGTTAAAAAAAAAAAAAAAGAGAAAAAACCAACAAAGATGGGATCGCAAAACGGATTGACAACCACAGCCAAGTGACCCCTTAAAAGAACCGCACAAAAACGGCTCCCCTTAAAGAACCGCCACAAATCCAACCCCAAAACATGTAAAACAAATCAGAGGAGACCCCACATACCTTGCAAAGACCCTGACATACTCGCGTTTAGAAAACAAACAACTGCCCTAAAGACCAACAAAGATGGGATCGCAAAACGGTTTTGACAACCACAGCCAAGTGACCCCCGCAAAAATCCAACCCCAAAACATCTAACTATTTCAGAGGAGACCCCACATATCCTGCAAAGACCCTGACATCTTCGCGTAAAGAAAAAGGGAAACACACACACACGCAAAAAAAAAAAAAAAAACTCCACCAACATGACCAACCGAAAAAAAAAAAAAAAAAAAAAAAAAAAAAGACTCCCCGCTGGGTCCGCATGGTCCGCATCCGTGGTGCGATGAGGGCGGTGTTGGCCGCCGCGGTGCTGCTGGCGAAGTCCGCCGCGATCTGCGGCGCCACCTCTTTTTCGATCGAAGCAGATCCGAAGTTCCCCATATTTGGTTGGGCCGCAGATGGTTTTAAACACAATTGGGTGGATGTCCGAATGAATTTGAAGATAAATTGGATAGATTATAGATGTATTCCGACCGGAAACTGAAACAGATGGCCATCCTAAGTTTCAGATGGCCACATCTGGCCGCTTATTTTTGGTTTCCCATAGTTTCCATGTACTGAACTGATGGGTTGCCCATAAACTATAAATAGCTGTTTTCCATCTGTAGATTTATGTTTCAAATGTTTTCCATCTATATGTTTTATCTACAGATGGAACCTTATGAAATCTATAGATTTGAAAACAGCTATAAATATAAACTTGAATTATAGATTTGAATTGTAGAAGGTGGTTCTACTCCTGTTGATCCTATTTGGGTCGACAGATCCTAAATAGGTGGATCTTATTTAGGTGGTCGCCTGCCGAAAGGATCCAGATCCGAAATTTCGAAGGCTTTAACTGGTGGTTTAGCCGATTCGGTAGGGCCGAAGCTTTAAACTAAGGTGGCTTTAAAACCCTATGTTTAAATCTCCGAATGAATTATGTGTATATATATATATACATATATATTTATAGATTTTATTCGGCCCCAATTTCTCTAGATATGAATATAAATTGCAAAAAAAATAATATTTTACCATTCTATTTTATAAAATAAATATACCAGTATATTTGGGTGGATTTAAACACAATTGGTTGGGCCGAAGCTGAGTTTCAACTCTTGTTTTTGCCAAAGTTGATTTTCCCTTCGAACCAGCGAAGGCGACGGAGAGGTGGACCCATGGGGTTCATTTGGGTCTGCTTCTGTGGATCGAAAAGGTTGACCCTGGGGTTTATGAATCCGGGTCTCTTTTTAGTATGGGTGGACGAAATCCATTTCGCACCTAAGAAAGCCTGGAATGATGATCCCTGTAGATGGAGCCTTGGACATTCATGGTTGCCCTCTGCTCCCCTGCTAAAAGTTTAACAATTTTAGTGGTTTCATAGAAAACATCCATCAGTTGGCAAAACAAATGATGTTCTCACCAAAGGTGTATTCGTCGTCGCTGCTTCTACTGGGCTAACAGTGACTAACTTTTAGTGGGTCAAATGGAAAACTACCACTAAACACTAAAAGGCTAAAAAGCTAAGGGGATGGCTGGGAGCCACCAAGTCTACTGTGGATGAACGAAATCCCATTTGGCACCACCTAGGTCGTCCAGTAGAAAGCTTAGAATAAGGGCACCCTATTTTTTTCTGTAGTCCATTTTGGTAGGGGAGCCCTCCCCAAAAAAGGGGTAAAAGGGCACTACCGGGGGACCTAGCCACCTAAGACGAAACCCTGGAATGATGATCCCTGTAAATCGGCGGGGAGCCTTGTTTGTTCATCGCCAATTGCTTCAACGCCCTTCCAAACCGACCAAGCAGTCGCGAGTTGGCGATCTCCGCAGTTCCAGGATCCCTTGAATCCAGTGTGTACAGAAGGTTCGTTATGGGGTGTATTAATCCGGGTGAACATTCGTCCCCTTACTAAGTGTTGAGCACAAATGTTGCTTGAGTTAGGTTAGGCAGGACCAAGGTCCAAATCCTAATTGATTTGGGCCCCAAATTAATCAACCCCAATATTCCCCCCTAACCAGGGAATCCCCCAATCGGACGAAAGGTTCCCACCGGACGACCCCCCCGGTGTATCATTTTCCTCACCAAACAAGCCGGAACCAGCCCGGTATCCCCGTTGTGCGACCTTCCAAAACCCCATCCTTCTTGTACCTTCCAAAACCCCCATCCTTGTTGTATCCTTTTTGTAACTGTCCAACAGGACTAACCCTTCAACCCCAGTATCCGTGTTGTATCCTTTTTGTACCCTTAGGCCTCAGGACCCGAGCCCAATGGAGGGCCGCTCCCGTTGTTTCCTCTGTTTTTTCCGCGTGGAAGTCGAGGCGACGTCGACGCTCGACGTCCAATCCTCGGAGAGGCCCAGCAGAGTGGCATCCATGGGCGCCACAAAGTCGTCGTAGGCCTCCCCGCTTCGGTGGTTTTGGGCGTGGGAGGGGTGGGGGTGGGATGGGTGGCCGGGGGAAGACGGGGGCTGGTGGTTTCAAAAGGGACCCAAAAGGACGCTGATTGCTATAATCTTCTCTACTCTTGGTATGGTAGCAAAAAACTGTGTTTTTTGCAGACCCCCAGTAAAAATGAACAGGAAAAAACCAAACTAAAAACAAACAACAACAACAACAAAAACAACAACAAAAAACATGCCAAGAACTGAGTGAAGCAATGGGATTTCAAGCAAACCAGTCGGCCGAACAAGTCTCCGGGCCTGGAACCGTCACGAACGTGTGCCGAGCTCGCCGTTGGTTCTACGGCACCATGTGTACGTCTGTCGGCTCTACCCGTTCCGCATAGCCCGAAAAGAAGGATAGGAAAACAAACCATCTGATTTCTTCAATCAGGTCGGCACAAGCACGATTCAACACACCTGGTGAGTTCTTGGTCCGAAAGTTCTGCCAGCTCACAGGAGGCCTTCCTTCAGTTCGCGCGATTCGGTTGAGGCCTGCAGCCTCGGGCATGGGCCAAGCACGGGGGGAAAAGTTGGAGCCCTGGTATCACCCCAAAAAAGAACAACAACAGCAAAACAAAACACGGGGGAAAAAAACAACAGAAAACGACACCCCCGCCCCCCCCCCCAAACAAAAAGGCAAATTAAAAAGTAAAATAAAACAAAAATGCACAAAACAACACAGGAAATAACAAAAACAAAACAAAACACAACACGGAGAAAAACACAAAAACAAAACAAACAACCACACTCCAAACCTCTGGACACGTGTCACATGCTCAAATCCCAGCCTTGGACCAGTTGCCATCCCCGGTGAGGACACACAGCTGGGCGCTGGAGGTGAGCGCCAAGTCGTAGTACTCCTCAGGCGGTGAAATGGGTTGGTGGGGGGCCACTTCTCCGTTCTGTTTAAAGTCTTGTTTAAACTCCCTTGATGTTTGTTTTTGATGTTTTTTCCCTCGAACCCCCTTGTTTTCGGTTGGTTGGTTTCACAGAGAAACACTTTGTTGTTGTTTTTCTTAATCGGTTTCCCCTGAAATCCCTTTACGTGTTTCTTAGTAACCTGTCTTTTTGGTTTCCAAAAGGGAGCCCTCACCAACAAAACACCCCCAAAACGGTGCGTTCTTCTTTTTGGAACCCCCTTGAAACCTCACACAAATCACGCACACACTCACGCCCAGCCCAAAATTAGGTGCAGTTATCGCACACGTCTAGGCATAACCCAGAAAAAAGGACGGGCCACATTTGCGCGTCCATGTCCGCACTGATTGCTGCTCGCCATAAAGTGATCCGATCGACATGCTTGCTGCCCAAATACACCCTCAAATGACACTCCATATCTACTCTACCAAAATATACCATAGACCCCAGACAATCAAACCATGGAGAGTTGATGACATCTGCGTAGCATCCATCTCAACCCATTGGTCACAGGACACCAGCCTGGAACTGACACCCGCTTTTATTGGTCAAAGGATAGAACCCAGCTTCTGAGGGCAAGCTCGTTTTCATTCAAAAGAATCAGCATGAGGTTGCAGCATCCATTTGGACAAGGGCTCTGTGTTATCTGGGCCAGGCTTCGACCGCGGGCCAAAAGTTAACTTTTGACCGGTTCCAAGGGCCAATGAAGGAACCTACAAGAGGCACAAGAGCAAAAAGCCAAGTCTGGCATTGCAAAGCCAAGGACATCTGCATGGAACCTTCCCTTCAGAACCAGCTTCTCCCGGCGAGCGAAGGTGCAACTTACATCGCGAAGAAGGCCATTCCTTTCTGTGGCGTCATTTGGCTCTGTTTTGAATAAGTGATTCCCGACAACAAAGACACTGGAACCGT